AGGGGAGCCCGTGCTGCCATCTCTCCTCTCTCCCACTGCTGCAGCCACAAAGCTCCTTATGGGATAAATCCTGCCTGGTGTTCAGGTAAGTTGTTGACAACATGCATGGGAGCTCTGGCTTGTGCATGCTGGGGTGGGGAATGTCTGCATGCTGAATTGCACTGTGCTGGGCAGAGCATACCAACATTGTGTGAAGTCATGGGTACTGGACAGAACTAAACTTTGCATTTAAAAATATTTTTTAAAGTTCCCACTCTTTGCTTCTCTCCCAACTGTGCAAAGTGCTAGTTTTGGCAGATAAAAGCAAGGAGCAAGACGGAAACTCTGCTGGCTCATACAGTAGGTTTGAAAGGAGTGCTGTCCCTTTTTTGCATCAAATCCCAGACACCCTTTTTTCCTTGTTACTTGGCTTCTTGGCTATGTTAAATTGCTGACTTTTGCTTCATTAAAATAATTGCTGATTGCATGTAACACTTTAGCTTAGTAGCTGTTCAGCAAAGGCTCAGCCACTGAAGATGCTAACCATCTCCTGTGACCTGCAGGTTAATATTTATTTCCTTTATTCAGGCCTCAGTGAGTCCTGATGGTCCACAAGTGCTGAGATCCAATCATCTGCTGGACATGTAATCAAGCAGTTAGGATGGCCACATGCTTGGAAGTCATATTCTAGGGGACAGTTTCATTAGGTTTATTAAGAATTCCCAGATTTTTTTTTCCTTAGGATACTCCAGATTCAGATTTTACACTGTCTTTAAGAAATGGCTCCTGTCATGGGGATGTTCAAGGGCAAAAAAAACCAACAAAAAACAGATTCATTCAGCAGTATAGAGAGAACTGGACGTTACCTTTACCAGATCCAGTGAAGCTCCATGTCATCCTTGCCTGTAAGCTGTGGAACAGCTCAATTTCTTGCAGGACATGAGAGAGAAGGAAGCCTTCCTGCATCCCAGACAACACACAACATATGCCGTACAACATATGCCCTACTGCTTGTGCTATGCTGTTTCAGTGACAACAGTCTGGGCTTTTAATTGTTGTAACCCTAATTAGTAGTGACAAATATTTTGGGACTGGAGGACTGGGGATTTCTTATAGACTTTAGACCCCCTGTAAAAAGTTCACTCCTTACATCCACTCTAATCTTGCCTTAAGTTATTCAGCATATACATGTGGCACAGTAAAAGAAGCACTGAAGTGTGCTGAGCTTGAGATGGTACACTTTCCAAATCCCCTGCCAGCCTGGCACAGATGAAATTTCTCCTGGAAATACAGCAGTTGTTGTTGACATTCTCTTCCAGTGGGAAAAGGAGAGGTAGAGACAGACACTGGTTTCATGCTAAACAAAGATGCATGGAAGGGAAACATAGTTTATTTTGGTTGAACCTTTTTAAAGAAATTTGGTGTTGCTTATGCCAAACTTTCACATCATAATAATCAGAAACATCCTTGCTCTGTCAGATATATCCCCAAGGGAATTCCATCCATTCCACGTGGGGGATGAGACCCAACACGCTCTCCTCGATCTGAACTTTTTTGGCATGTGTTGTAGCCAATTAAGAACTATTTCAGTCACCTCCAGCTTCTCAGAGCAGCCTTTCACCTGACTGACTCAGGCCCTCACACTATGCAGTTTCAGGGAAAGGTTGTGGGATCACAAAGAACACAGGAGTGCATCTCACCTCTGCTGTCTCAAGGTGGGCACAGGCCACCCTCTCGGTTAACCAGATGCCTCTTTTCCAGACACTAAGCAATGACACAAAAGCATGCTGTCACCATCCTGGACTCTTTGGCCATGGACACCCTCTTGGCAAGCAGGGGCAGGCAGGTTTGGATGGACTGGCTGGGGATTCTGGGGTGAGACTGCCCCATTCCAAAGCCATTGTGTGTGCTGCACTTAGGCTTTTCTCAGTCAGCTGATGCAAACCTTCTGTGTCTCCTGATGGGCTTTGTGCCTTAGAAGCCCTTTAGGGCTAAACCTGAAACAGAGATACCATGGGCCAGCCCCTCAAGTGGTGTAAATCAGCAGCACTTCTGTGAAAACAACTGAGTCATGTTCATTTATATCAGCAGGTGGATTGCAGATCCCATCCAGCTTTTCCACCTGTTACACACTGTTTTACTCCCTCCTTGTTCATTTTAGTAATAGGAAAGAGATACCAATTTTCCTAATGAAATGCAGTTTTTTCCTGATCCTCTTTTATTTTAATGAGGAGGTCTAAGATGAGAGAGTCCTAAACCAAACACCTGCATCCCACCCAAGCCCAGCCTGTAGATATCCGTATCACTCGGACCCATGCTGTGAGGCTGACACTTAGCCCTGCATTGGGTTGAAACAAAATCCCCTGCATCAGTATGCCTCTAGTTGGGGGCTGAACATTACAGCACTTTTGCTTGTAGTCAGAAATGTCACAGCATTAATCCCTTTATGCAATTTCAGGGATCCTTTTGCCATCTGTCCTAACACAGAGGTGAGCACAACAGCCGAGCAGACAACATTGCTGCCTGCTTCTTGCTGTCTTAAAACAGAGCTACTTGCACCCATCTGTTTGCATGTCCCTGCCCATGAGGCCATTCCCTGGCGCATTTATCCTCCCAGGCAGACGGGCTTTGCACTGGGGACTCATCCCAGCCTGCAGGCGGGAAGTTTGCTGCAGTTCCCAGGGTAACGCCTTTCCCATGAGACGGGGGAGCTGCAGATGGAGGCCACTGCTTTTCCCCGCAACGAGACGCAGTTTCCACTGGGAAACCCAAGAGCAAAGTTTTGCTTGGTGCAAATCATGGCCATTGGCTTTGTTTCCAGCCCACCACCTTCTCCAGGGCAGCTGTCCCCTCTCCTCAGCCTGACCTGTTACTGGCATTTCTCCTTCCTGCTTTGAACACAGGAATGTTGAAATGGGGGATGTGGAACAGTGTTTGCTCCTCAGCCCTGCTGGAACCTGACGCAGGGAGCTGGCGTAGCCCCAAGCCACCTGCCTGTGAGAAGATAACAAGAGGAGCTGCCTGTCACAGATTAGTTAGAGTCTGACTGAATAGGCATTATATAAACCAGGGATTATTTGGGGTTTTTTTCCTCTAAGGAAGTACCCAAATATTGGTGGAAAGGAACTTTTTTTTTTTTTTCTTTTCTATAAACTCAGCCATGTTATTCTTCCAGGAATTAGCATCCATATCTTTACCTTCTTCTTCCTATAAAAAGGATTCAGGACTGATAATTCCTTAGCATTCTCTCTGTGGTATTCCTCAAGAGCCTCAAAATGACAGCTCTGGCCTTAGCCCCCCAAGCCATGTTGCCCTGCAGAAGACTTGGCCACCCCCTGGGGTATCACTGGGCCAAGCTTTACAACAGTGCATTTAAAAATAGTGATAATCAAAAATTTGATTTATACTGCAAAAAACAAACAACAACAGCAACAACAAAACAAACCTGCATATCTTGAATGGTGTGTCTGCAGAGCTCTGGGATGGAGGTGGCCATTCCCATGCTGAGCCCTGTCTGTGAGGCACAGAGCAATGGCTGTGGGGCTCTCCTGCCAGGCAGGACAATCGGCACGATGACAGTGTTTCCCTCAGCCAGCTGCTGGTATACAGAACACAGACAGATTAGGCCGTGTGTGCTCATGCAGCTGAACAAATTATTTGGTGAAAGTCACACATCTCAGTAATGAAATGCTGCTTCTGTAGGGAACAGCTACATCCTCCTGGAACAGCCCTACATGGAAAGAGATTAGAAATCAAAGGGAGGTGGGAAGTGTTTCTCTTTTCCTAGAGTGTTAACTTGTTTAAAAATATTTCTTTCAAATAGCCTGCTAATTTTTACATTTCAAATTTTTCTACATTTTGCGCTTACTCATTTTCACTGAATAATCTGCTTCTCTTGCTCTTTTTGTGGCTCTTTCTTTGAAACAGCAATCAGTAAGATTTCCTATTGCAAAGGAAATCTTGGCTAAATATAGTAAAGAAGAGGAGGTTGTTTAAGAGCTGCTAGGTATTCTATAGCTCTCTGGTATTCCCTGAACATTTATTTCAAGCAAGACTTTTTTTTCCTTTAAGAAAAACATAGTCTTTTCAAGAGGAAAGCTCACCAAAGAAATACAGCAACTGGTGCAATACCTGAGATAATTTTTCACTGTTGTATCAGTAATTGCAAAGCCATCAGTATTCCCTATGTGGATATCCCTGTCTGCAAATGGAGAACACTGGCTGCAGCTCCTTAAATAGGTCCTGTAGGTCCTTTGCTCCTGAAAGCAGGTGCTGCATGGTCTAAGTTAGGGAAGGAGTTCAGATGTGCAAGTGACCTTCCTTCTTCCTAGTCCTTGGTCCTGCCAGTAGGAAAGCTCATGTGGGTGACAACAGGGCTGCCACAGCCAACTATTGCACTGGTAGCTTGGAGGAGAGCACAGGGAGGGCAGGGAGGGTAAGCAGGAGAGAACAGGCACCAACCCATGAGGCAAGTGACCAAGGAGTGTGCCAAGGTGAGTGATAGCAGGACAGGAACAGACTAAACTGTTTCTGAAATTACTTTTTACCTAGACCTGGTGGATGCTGTGCAGCTGATACTGATTCAGACTGTGGGAGAAACATCCCAGTTTCCACAGTAGCCTTGGTTGTGCATCCCTCCCCAAGCTGCGTAGAGCTCTGCACCAGCAGGAGAGCACTGGGCAGAACGAGTAGCAGTGACTGTAGAACAGGGCTTTGCTTTTATCAGTTCCCATGAAACTGGAGAAAGCAAGTATCTTCATGAGACAGGGTCCCAGGGCACAGCCTTGAGTGATAGCCACTGGACATCATTAGGCACAACTCCTCCTTGCCAAACTACTTTCCTGGGGCAAAACTGTAGGCACATGAAATTCTAGAGGCAGGCGCACCCCACCTGCCTCCCTTGTCACAAGAGCCTTGTGTCCCACTCTGGGGGAAGGCCCCTGCTCCTCACTCCCAGAGAAACCATTCCAGACATCACTTACACCTCTGGATCTCTTCTGTCTCTTTGTCCCTCCCTCCAGGGAAAGTCTCTGGCAAGCAAGCGCCTCACAGGCCTGATGCAGTCCTCCTGACAGCTGCAGCCGACCGCCCCGCGGGACAGACAGCTGGGACCACTGCCGGGGACGGGGCATTTCAGGGAGAGCAGGTCCCTGCAGGGGAGACAGCCTGAGCAAGTGGAAGCAGAGAGCCACATGCCAGTGGAGCACCTCTCTTCACAGTTTACACCAACACTTCCCCGTCTGCACAGCTCCTTAAGGACCCTGAGCTCTGTGCAGGTACTTTGTTCCCAACTGAGGTTTGGAGAACACTTCACCATACATGGGAGGTCAACAAGGCGAGGGCTTGCTGTCTTGTTATTTGAGGAAACAGACCCAACCACAGCTTGGAGAACGAAGAGCTGAGAGAGATCAGTGTTTTTCCACATCTCTCTTCTCCCTGGCACAAATATGACTGTAATAAGATGGCGCCACAATCTCACTTACTCCCTTTCATGTGGCTGTCTGGATCCAATAAAATATCTGGATATTTTAGCTGGAAGCTGCTTCTCCTTCTCACTAAATCCCAAATGCATTTTGCCTGCAGATTCACTGACTTTGACTTGGTTTTTCTTTCCTATGTTTCTCCTCCTTTAAAACAATGAGAAAAAAAAAAAGAAAAGCACTATTTTAAGTTCATCACTCACTGTCCAATAGCATGTAGCACATCCAGAGATGATGGCCAGATCCTCAGCTGAAGTCAGGAAAGCAAGAGTGGTTTTCATCGCCTGAGGATCTTCCCCCTTGAACCAGACTGATCCTGGTGCAAATTCTCTGACGTCGGCGGAATCGTTCTGCATGTGCACATAGTGCAAATTTGGACTCTGCCTGATGCTCAAAAAGAAATATTTGAGATGTGCAATGCACACACAAGTGCGCACACACACACACACACACACACACACACAGTATTTTAAAGTGAGTTGGTTTATATTTTATTTAATTTTCTATTTCTTTAAGATTTTGCATATCTAATCAATGATGGATGTTCAAACTTTTCTCTGAGCAAACCAAACAGGACTCCAGCTCTCCAATCAGAGAGGGCCAAAATCCATTCACTTGTGTCCAGGGAAACGCAACTCTGATGTGGGCAGGTGTCAAAATTCAGCCTACAGTGCGGAGGGAATTGTTGGCATGAATGGGCAGGGCACTGGGTGCCAAGTGACTCTCCCTAAACAGCAGCATACCCAGCTGTGATATCATGCTCAGATAACTGACCCTGCTGAGAAGCATCATTCTGAGAGTGAAATTGCACCACTGGAGGAAATGAGCTTCCACTAAAACTCATCTGACCTGCAGCCCATGAATGCAACAGCAAAAGATGGCCCAGTAGCTTGTTTCAAGCTGTTGTAGGTATGGCAGTTAGGATGAGGACAGGACTGAAGTGACTTTATTATGAAATCCACTTATACTAGCTGCAGATAGGAAAATGGCCTGCATTCACATACAATATACTATCTATAAAAGGAATTTCAAGACTCAGCTGACTCACAAAATCTCCTCTATTTTGTAAGCAGTTCAGATCTGAAGCATACATGAAACTAGACATTTCTTGGTCTTCTTCACTCATGCCAAGGCAAACTGGCTTTTTGTACAGGTGTTAGAAAATGCTATATGGCTACAAGTCTGTATTCCTACCTAGGCAAAACCATCTAGCTAAGTAGACAGCTGGCTATCGACAACATTCACTTCTGAGGCAAGTATTATTCTAATATCTAAGGCCTATGTATGCACAAAAACATGCCAGCATAGTTTCTGTCAGAAAAAGAACCTTCCTCTTTGCCCATGACAATTCTCATTCTGATACCTCTTTTCCTTCCTGCAGAAAAGTCCTCATATCAATTATACCTAAGGTCCATTCACCTGCATGAATGTACAGTAGACTCCTGAGTATGACCTTTGTTCTTTACACGTGCCTACACCCTAAACAGCCTGCTGTCTGAGGTCTTCAGTCCAAATTCATCCTACATATACATGAAACACAAGCAAGTTCCAGGGCTGCAGAACCATAAATGTCCCTGACATTCTTGTGGTCCTCTGTCTCTGAAGAGGACATTGGGTCCCCTCCATATTGTCACTTAGCTGTCCTTGCAGGACCTATTTGTCCTCTGTTGCCCACCCAGCTCAAGGGTCCCCTTGGAAAATAGCAGGTCTTTGTGTAATAAGTTCACATGTCCATTCATGGATATGCATATGTGCCTCCTTGGTCATCCCTAGGAAAATGCAGAAGTCATCTCTTCTCAGAGCCTTGTAGATGGTGTTTTTACCTCTGTCAAACCCTCCAGTGCCATGCATCACTGGAGCTCTGTAAACCAACAGCTGCTTACACTCCAAGCTACTCTGCTGCCAGTGCTGCCCAGCCACAAGGCATTTCCCATGGGAGGTCTGTCTTGTGAACCCTCCAACTGGTCTGCGGAGCATTCCTGAGCAAGACGTACGTATAAAACATGAAACTGGTGTGTAGCAAGCAGCAGGGATAGTAAAGTGGTGTATGTGGTTCTTGCTTTGCAGTGAGTTCCTGACACTGGAGATCTTGTATCCTGGGAGAAGGATGGGGTAGCTCCATGGAGGTACTTCTCAGGTCCTGCAGCATGGGGACACATGTGGGCAGGACTGGAGAGTGCTGGTGGGTGATGGGACAGGTGGAATTTGGGTTATGGTCTGTGCAGGCAGCAGAAATGCCAGACTTTAACCTGGAGATGTGCTGCTGCCCTGTGAGCAACACACTCTGCTTTGTCTTTCAGCTTTATTCCTGCAGGACGGTCATGTTGGCTGCCACAGTATTTGCCTGTGGGGAATATTCCGTGTTTGAACAGTTGAGCACATGGAGGGAATTCTTACAGACACGGAGAGTGTGCATATGGGCGTGCATCAGGGGGCCTGGATGCTGAACAGCTTGCCATTTAAATGCACACTCGTGCAAACTAATCTGCTCAGCAATGGCTAGCTGAGCGGACAGAGCTGCATATCCTCTGGAGGGAAGAAAGCTCTGCTCCTCATTTCCTGACTAAATTTCTCCAAAACAAACATGAGAGTAGACAAGGCCTCCTCCTGGGAATACATATTAACCTTTCTTCACATGTCTTTTACTTCACATATGGTGATACTAACATGTAACTACTTCCACATGAACCACATCCTTGAATTATTGCTTTTTAATGACCTTGCTTATTCCAAGTGATGCTACTTTTTTACACCCAGTGGTATCCCATCGAGCATTGCAAGCTGTAATCTGCTGCTTTCTAATTGTCCGGTGTCTTCCAACTACCTCATCATGCTGAAGATGAGTTAGGAAATCATCTTTCCACCTCTGTTTATGTTCTAAATGGCATCAATTCAAGGAAAGACAGTTTGGAAAGCTTCTACAATGTCCAAGCTGTGCAAGCTAGCTACAAAACTACCCATACTTACAGGGGTATAGCTGTGAAATATGGCTGTGCACTGTTATTTGGATAATAGAGTATCCAGAGCACTCACGGCTATTGTGGCAAAACAGCAGCAGGACAAGCACTAGGAAAGGTTTGACGAGCCAGTGCAGACAGCGTTAGGCTGAAGCAAATGGATTAATGTACTCTCAGTATAACTCAGCACTAAGGTCCCATAGAGTACTATAATAAAATGGTAGCAGGGCCGCCATAAAAAGTGGCAGTAAGCTGACATAATAATACCAGAATAAATGTAGCAATAAGGTAACACAGGCCACTGCAGTAAAGTAGCATTTTGATAATGCAGCAATAAGACACAACAGGATGCTGCAGTAAATTAGTTTGGGGAATAAAGCAGTAATAACAGCATGTGTGGACAAACAGTGGTACATTTGTACCAGGTACTGCAGCAATAAAGATAACACAAGATGTCCTAGTAATAAGTTACTACAGTAACAACAATATGATGCACTGTAAAGTTATATCAGGATGCTTCCATGCTGCAGTTAAATCCTACAAGAGGTGTAGTGAGACAATGAAGACAAAATATACCCCATTTCTGACTGCAGAATGTGAATCACTTTTCTGCACCATAACCCAGATTCTGGAATGATCTCAGCAATACCAATCTTCTCATTCCTGCTTTCAAGGAAGCTGAGGCAACAGTGTTCCCCCCCGTCCCAGACAATTATTTTGGTCTGAAAATACAAAATTGACTCATTGTCTCTTCAGCCAAATTGTCACAGACTGTGGTGAAGTTCTTTGTTTAGTCCTACTCAGGTGAAACCCTGGTGGTTTTGGTAAGTCCTTTGCCTTCGAAAGGATTTGGCGCTCTCATCTTCTGGCATAGGTGATGCTTTTAGCCTAAAATTATTAATGGTTTGGGTGGGAGAAGGGGAACCCAGGTACAGAACATCTGACTGTACCAGTCTGTTTCCTAAAATGCACAAATAAATGGAGCATCCTGGAAAAGTCAAAGCAACAAGGCACACACCTGTTCTGTCTGTCATGCACTCATGCACACAAAAATAATCCTCCTGGAACCAGTGCAAGCCCTGGGTGCATCCATGGGCAGGACTTGGCCTAACCCTGTTCTCAGTGTTCCCAGCAGAGTGACAGAAGCAGTGTGTCTCTCCTTTCCTGTTTTTCCATTTTTTTTTTTTTTAATCTAACCTCACCCTGTGTATGAAATGGTCTTGGAAAAAAATTCATTTGCCATAACACAATATGCAGTATCATGGGCAAGGAACAGGTCTGTCCAAGGAATTTGCTGTCTTTGTACTCTTCAGTAGAGGGGTAAAGCATTCTGAAAAATAACCGGCAACCACTGTTATACTCGATAATCAGCAGGAATAAGGGTTTAGTCAGAGCATCTACGTCAACAACACGACTTGAGTGGAGTGTGTGTGCTAGATCACAAGATGGTCTCCTGGGTAAAGGATGTAAATAGGGCACAACTGCAGAGTCCTAACTAGCAAGAACAGCTCACAGCTTCACAAGTCTCAACGGATACAAATCTTCTGCTACATCTTTCTGACCCTTTGCACAACAACTTTGCTATCCCTTTGTTTGGCTTCTTCTGTCTCTAGGTGTCTGCTCAGTTCAAGTTTGGAGCAGTGCTCTGATACACCTTGGCTTGGCTCTTGCCTTAAACTCCTTGGCTTGCTTTTATTGGTTTAATGATTAAGCAGGATTATTAAAGTAGAGCTCACAGTAGGGTAAGATAGGCTAGGTTATCATGATTACGTCGTTTAAGCTGTGAGCAATTTTGAGCTTCTCAGCACTGTTTATAACCTGAGACGGGGAGCAAGCGACGTGGCTGCTCAGCAGAACAGTGAGCTGGTGAACAATACACTATCTTCATGCCCACACGTACTTTGAACTTACTGCTGAGGAGAAATGCTTTGTAGTGAGAAAAGTAATCTCACGGCAGGGGAGAGTCAGACCTGATCAACTTTTTCATGTGATACAGATTTTGCTTTGCCAGCCCCTAGCATCTGCAAAGCTTGCAGCTAAGAGCCAGCAACCTCCTAATCCTGCTGCTAAGCTTTGGAAACAAGCTTTTCAAAGGCTGTCT